GGCCTGTCTGTATACTTAGTAGACATAAGTGGCAAAAAGACGGTATAATATCAACATTAAAGGAAATGTCTTAACAAGCTGAAACACATGCCATTTCCAGGCAGGAAACAGAGCCAGGAAGGCAACTGTGTTGTGGGAGGACAGTGATCTCTACAATAACAGGCCATATGTGCATTATAGCAAATGCACTTTTTTTCCTTAGCACATCACAGCATAATGGACAGCGAATAGGTCAGGAAGCTTTTAAGGATGGGATGTACAGCACAGTTATATCCATTAATAGCCAGATGAATGCCGAAAATTGCTGGTTAATTAATCTGCATTTTGTTTAAATGTTTCCCTTTTCAATTTTCACTTGGTGTGAAAGTTCCCCATTAAGGTTTTACCGAAATGTTAATACCTCCTACTGTGTAAATCTGTTTTAAACTGTCCTTGATGATTCTAATGTGAGACGGCTGAGTGTATCTTCAAGCAATTCATTGTGTGGACAGCTGTACTGAGTGAACCTAACTTACTTTTAAATTCTCCTTTTATTGATTCAGCTTTTAATTAACATTTGACTTTTTACCAGGTTTTTTTTTTAAAAAGAAGACAACCACGAGGAGATCTTAAATAATTACTGTTAAAAGTCCATATTTTCAAATCTTCTATAATCTGCTGATGATCACGTATAAAAAATAAATCCATATAGATTTTTACTCTCCTCTTTTATGTTTCTCTCAGTAAATAATGTGTTTGATGGTTGGTAAATATCTTTAGGCACACTTTCTCCCACTCTTTTTACAATGAAAAGGTTGATGATCACACACCCCTTTTTTATATTTGATGCCAGAATACATGTACGGAAAGTATGATAGAAATCTTTCATTGCAGGGCTCACTGCTGATGGTCCTTCTTGGGGTAAGGGTTATCATTTTTGTCCATGAACTGCAACAACACACACCCACATGCACACACGCACAGCAACTGGACTCTCCCACACATACACACAAAGTTGAAAAAAGGTGTTGCACTTTAATAAGCAATCCAAACTCTACAAAGCCAGGGTAAATTATGCTGTTGTAATTTACACTATTCCAAACTCCATTCAGCAACAGGGCTACAGCCGGCTGAGACAACCCATGCTTGGCAGAGGGAAAACAAGACACTACACTTTTTGGCAGCATCACTTCTGTTGTGTTGCCAAGTCACACAACTGAACTGAACAGAATTTGGAATAGGGATAAGTCTCCCCCTTGCCCCATCCTGTCCCTGCCACGTCTCCTGAACGCTGCTTGAGACTTATTCTGGCCTTTACTTAGGTGGCTTTGGCTCAGCCACCTGAGCCCTGGCTGAGACAGGATGAAGGACTTAATGCCAGTCCACGTCTGGCTGAACTGGAATGAAGGTCTTCAGCCAGTGTATTCCCTGATGAGCCCAGATTCAGCTGCAGATCTGCCTATTCCAAGCTCTACTCATTCTGGCGTATCTTGGGCTTGGATTGCTCCCTAAGCAGCTACAATGGAACGCTTCATTTCAAACCTAACTGCAGTGTGGGAGGACATTTTAAAGTGTGTGGGGTCCTAGGCTGGGGAGTAAAGGGCAATCCTTCCTCCCCAAATACAACCCACCCCCCTTGGAAGCAACACTCCTCCATTTTAATTAATATTGAAAGAAGTATTTTATTTATTGTGCCTAATGGAAGGCTTATTGTCATGAGACAAAGGTTCTTGAGAGCAGAAGCAGGCAAGGCCTAGGCAGTGCAGCCCACGAGGCCTACACAAATCTTTCAAGCCTGTTAGCAGTAAAATGCTGTGTCACTGTGACTTGTGACTCATCCTGGGTTCCCTATACAGTGGTGCCTCGCAAGCCGAAATTAATTCGTTCCGCGAGTTTTTTCGTCTAGCGAATTTTTCATCTTGCGAAGCACGAAATCCCATAGGAATGCATTGAAATTCAATTAATGCGTTCCTATGGTCAAAACAGTCCAAACAAAGCCAAATTTGGTACAACAAGAGTTTATTAAGTGCTCTTTAAAGTCACACATACTGTAAAGAGCATTTCAAAAATTGAAGGAACAATAAATTAAGTTTCTAAACATGACAGAAAAGCATTTAAAAATCAACAAAGTGTACAGTACATTTTCTAAGACTCTGGGGGACAACTCGAAGAAGGTTCCTCTTCCACTCTTTGCTTCTTGCTGAAGAACCCCCTCCTCAACTGTTCCCCCAGCCACCCACCACACAGAAATTCAAATCCAGAATTTTTTTTTAAAAAACAGCAGAGTGGCCCAATGGTCACAGAAAATAATAAAAATGCAGAAAAAAAACACACAAGTTTCCAGATTCTTGCAAACCCCTCCCCAACACCAAGTCCTTGAATTCCAAACACCCCAACCCAAAATCCAAAAACCCCCCAAAAAGTTTTTAAAGTTTAACTTACCAAATGGCTGCAAAAGAAGTTTTGGAAAAGCTTCAAAAATCACCAAAGTCTTCAAAAACCTCAAAAAAGGCTACCACACCGCATTCTATGAGTTGCTCCTCGAAGTCAAGTCGCAACTGTATTAACGGTGTTAAGAAAAGGAAACAAACTTGCAAGACGTTTCGTTTTTCGTCTTGCGAAGCAAGCCCATAGGGAAATTCGTCTTGCGAAGCAGCTCAAAAAACGCAAAACCCTTTCGTCCAGTGAGTTTTTCGTCTTGCGAGGCATTCGTCTTGCGGGGCACCACTGTAGATGTAACCAGCCATCTCTGTGGGCCTCAGTGTAGAGTGTGTGTGTGTCTTAGCCAGTATGCTGTGTTGCTGCTGACAGAGCAGCTGCAGGACTCCAGTTAATCAGCGACTCATATCTGTGCCTCTGAGAAGAGTCAGCTAGCTGTTTTGAGCACTCTGTGTATGCTCTTTGACTATGCTGTTTCTGAGCAAGTTTATTGTCTTCAGTAAAGTTTCATTCTCTTTATGAAGAAGACTCTGCGTTGATTAATTTACCGCTGTGCGACACTTATTTCAACCCAATTTCACAGTGGAGGGCTTGTTTGAAGGGGAGCTTGCACATGGTGGTGTTGGTAGTTGGTGCTGCCTTTCCCTTCTCCCCCAAATTGTCCTCATACTGCAACAAAAAATAACATATATATTCCAATCTCTGAGCAGTGTGAGATTCCAGGAGCCTATATAAAACCTGAGCCTATGATGGAGGGGCTCACAGCATTAACACTACAGAAGGTCTTGCTTCTCTAACATGCACAGCCTTGGATTCAAGCAGAAATCAAGGATGGCTCTCACTCTCAGTCTTCTGCCTGCTTTCTGGTTCTTGCCCAATTCACACACTCAGCTCTGGCTATAGGTGAGCCTCCCTGGGGAGAGCATTCCAGGAGTGGCTACTGAAAAGGCCTGTTCTCATGTTGCCACCCTCCAAACCTCCTATGGAGGGGACACATGGAGAAGGGTCTCAGATTATGATTGCATGGTCTGAGCCAATTCATGTGAGGAGAGGCAGTCCTTGAGATTTTGAAGTCTTGGGGCTTTATAGATTGTTAAATGTTCGGAAAAAGTCAGAAGCCCAAGGCAATATAAGTTCCTCAACTAAGTTTATGCAACATTTGTCAGTGACAACAGCTCACTCATAGGTACACAAGAACCAAACTGACTGGACAACACAATAATAAACCGTGCATGAACTGACCGTTGACAGTTGAAAGTGCATGCGCTTACTTGCCATTAGAACGCTCATCTACCAACGCTTATACGATTGGTTAGAACGTGCCTTGTGACCTAAAATGTGTTAAACCCAATACATAACACTCCTCCCCCCAACTTCCTAACAAAAGGAACAAACATAGTCATCAAGGTGTGCCAGCATTTTCCGCTCCCGCTGGGACCATTGCGGTTCCTGTGCCCGAGTGGGTGACCCAGGAGGTTCCTCCGGTACCCGCGGTCTGAGTGGGGCGGTCACCGAGGCCGGCTCTGAAGGGGTCACTGCTGATGGAGCCACTGAGGATTCCAGCCTGAAGTTGCCCTGCTGAGGTAACTCAGTCACCAGCAACCTGTCTGGTTCCCACCCTGGCCTGGGCACAGAATCAAAGTACCCATTTCTCTGTCCTCTGGTTCCACTTGAAGTTCCATGTTCGGAGGTGCCCTGGCTCTGATCTGGTCGAGGTGTCTCTTCCAAACCAGTCCCCCCTCCAACCCTACCTCGTAGGAAACCGGACCTGTACAGCGGGCAATGATACCAGGGACCCAACCCTGTCCAGGCCCATAGTTTTGGACGTACACAGTGTCCCCTAGGGAGAACCTTAATGGAGCCCCCCACACCACGGTGGATGGTCATTGCTCAAGAGCCCGGTCGGATCGATTCGAAATCTGCCCTTGGGGAAATCTGATTAAGCCCTGAAATACCTAAACCATGCTAGGCCCAGAAGGCTAGTGAATGGCCTTTGGTTATAATGAGGTTCAAATTCTTGGTGTACTTCTTAAACTGGACCTTGAAGGTGCCCGTCCCCTTTAGCTGGATTCTTTTTCTCTGGAAGTCCCACAGCACTACAGGGGCCGGGGGGAGTTGAGGACCGCCGTTAGGGCAAAGCTCTTTCAGAGTCTTAGCAGATATTATGGAGTAGGATGAGCCAGCATCCAACTCCATAGTGCACAGGGTTCCCTCTATCTTGAGTTGTACCCTGAGCTTATTGGACCCTGGCGGTGGAAGTTGAAGTACCCTGGCTGGAGCGGTGGACACTCCTCTTCTATGTAGGCCTCGTAGACATGTTGCTTGGGTCATGCTCTGGAGGTCTTGGAGTGGCAGACTCGACCAATGTGCCCAGTCTTCCCACAGTGGCGACATGTGGTGTCCCGAAACCTGCATGTCCGACGCTAGTGGTTTTCTCTGCAGCTGGCACAGGTCCCTCAAGGTGAGTCAGATGACCGCTGGTTCGAAGATGCGCTCGTAGCTTGGGAGTACTGGTGTTGGTAGAATCGGTCCGAAGCTCGGTGGACATCCTCATTGTGGGAATCTACAGAAGACGACCGATCTCACTGGATGTGGTGAATTCTCCTTTTGGTATGTGGGCTGTGGGCCGCCTCGTGGGCGTTATCCTTCTCAAAGGCCGTGGCCATATTCGTTGCTTCCATCATTGTGATGTCATCTTTTGGCAGCAGCTTGCAGCGGAGACAGCTGTCTCTCACGCCACTGAGTAACCTTTCAAGAAGTCGTTCCTCGATGTCAGCGAATTGGCAGTACATCAAAATCGTGCAGAGCGCTGTGATGTATTCACTCGCTGACTCTTGCGCTTGTTGCTCTCTGTGTGCAAAGTCGTAGCGGCTGTGGTTCTTAGTTGGCTGAGGCACAAGGTGTCTTGTCATAGCCTGTGTCAGCTCATCGAAAGTTCATGCCTCTATGTCCCTGGGTACCATCAGACCTTCCGGTAGAGTGATGGTGGAACTTCCCAGCACCATCAGTAGCACATCCACCTTGTCTGCCTCCCTAGTGAAGCCTTGTAGTTGGACATAGCTCATTATTCAGCAGAGCCACTGCGGCCATTCTGCAGGATGGCTCATATCAAAGTCCAGTGGTGGCCGACAATGACTGGTAGCCATCCTCAGACTTGGAGCAGTCGCTTGTGCGATTATGAGTGGCTGCAAAGACGCGGCAGGCACGGTCTTGTTTCCGGGACTATTTGCTGAGTCCAGCGTGGCGGTGAGGTCGCGCTTACTGCGAGGCTGCAGGTGGTGGTGTTGTGGTGCAGTCTTGGGCCTCTGGCAGCCAGCGGGAGCTCATCTATCCCACCTTCATCGCCAATGTTAAGAGTTCGGAAAAAGTCAGAAGCCCAAGGCAGTATAAGTTGCTCAACTAAGTTTATTCAACATTTGTCAGTGACAACAGCTCACTCATAGGAACACAAGAACCAAACTGACTGGACAACATAATAATAAACCGAGCATGAACTGACCATTGACAGTTGAAAGTGCATGCACTTACTTGCCATTAGAACGTTCCTCTACCAACTCTTATACGATTGGTTAGAATGCGCCTTGTAATCTAAAATGTGTTAAACCCAATACATAACGTAGATCAAAACCAGAACTTCAAACTGAGCCCAGAAACTAACTGGTAGCCAGTGCAGTTGTTCCAGAATTAGTGTTGTATGTTCAGATCATCCGTAACAGTCTAAATTTGAAAAACCTGCATCTCCGTCTTTTGCGGGGCGGACGGGCGGAAGGTTACAAGTCATGAAGATGTGAAATTAACATGCTTGGTGCATCCACAAGTGCTATAGCTAGGAGTGGACAATCAGTTGATTGCAGTTTCTTTCCATTTCTCATTTTACCAATCTTAAATTTAGTTCTCCACATTTCCATATTGCTTTGCAAATATTATTATTTTTAAAAATCCTGATGAAAAAATGCATCCATACTTTAATGCACGTTTCACCTAATATTCACAACACAAAAATTATTCCAAAGCAAATTTCCCTAATATGCTGCCTTTGTGATGTTACTTTTGCTATTATGTGCATTTGTTTGTTTTATTTTGTTTTATTTCAACAATCTGTTTACTGCTCAATCACAGTAATCTCTAGGTGGTATACAAATGACCTGACACAGTAAGACTCAAAATGAGTTAAAAAAATAAAATATGAATTCAGTTAAAAAGCCTGCTGGAATTTACAAAAAGTGCTCAGTAAGCACCAGAGGTTTGGTAGGAACGGAGCTGTTTACGCCTGTATATGCACTTTTTACACATTACTTGGCTGGACAAATGAATTGCAAATGTCAGAGATGTGTAAATTATGAAGGAAAGTTGCGTTTAGGTTCTTGTATTGTTTCTGATAGTATGAATTAAGAAGGTTCACCTTTAAATGCAAATTGAACTGAATCTCTTCCACCATCCCTAATACTGTCATATATGTATATCATAATCGTATATAAGTACCTAACAGGTATAAGATGCATGACACAGCACCTTTCTGCAAGCTCTTTGCTTGGTTGTTCTTTGAATGCATTTGTCTATTTATAGCAACAGTGTACACAGCCAAAATCCTCACATCCTTTCAGTTTCTGACTGCACAATAACTCAGAGAGGGAAATGTGCTCTGACATGCCTACTGAGTTACGCTAACTCTCTCTTTCACTTACTTGGTTTCACCACTCCAGACAATGTTGTTCATTTCTGGGTAGATGAACTTCCTGCCTATTTTTTTTTTTATGTAAGCTAAACACCATCCAGAGCCAGCAAAGCTGGTCATTGATATAGTTACTTGCAGGGCTTTTTTTAAAGCCGGAACTCACCGGAACTCAGTTCTGACACCTCTCAGGTGGGCACCATTGCCATTATGAGAGAACAAGGGAGGCATTCAGGGTGAGTTCTGGCATCTCTTTTTCTAGAAAAATAGTGCTGGCTACTTACTGGGTTTGTGCGTGTGTTTGTTTTTTTAAAGAAAGATGGTGGCTAACAGATTGAGGTTGAATCCTGACAACACAAAAGTACTGTTTTTGGGGGACGGGGGGTGGGCGGGTGTGAGGGACTCCCTGGTCCTGAATGGGGTAACTGTGCCCCTGAAGGACCAGGTGCGCAGCCTGAGAGTCATTTTGGACTCACAGCTGTCCATGGAGGCACAGGTTAATTCTGTGTCCAGGGCAGCTGTCTACCAGCTCCACCTGGTACGCAGGCTGAGACCCTACCTGCCCACAGACTGTCTCACCAGAGTGGTGCATGCTCTAGTTATCTCCCGCTTGGACTACTGCAATGCACTCTACGTAGGGCTACCTTTGAAGGTGACCCGGAAACTGCAATTAATCCAGAATGCGGCAGCTAGACTGGTGACTGGGAGTGGCCGCCGGGACCACATAACACCGGTCCTGAGAGATCTTCATTGCCTCCCAGTATGTTTCCGAGCACAATTCAAAGTGTTGGTGCTGACCTTTAAAGCCCTAAATGGCCTCGGTCCTGTATACCTGAAGGAGTGTCTCCACCCCATTGTTCAGCCCGGACACTGAGATCCAGCTCCGAGGGCCTTCTGGCAGTTCCCTTATTGTGAGAAGTGAGGTTACAGGGAACCAGACAGAGGGCCTTCTCGGTAGAGGTGCCCGCCCTGTGGAATGCCCTCCCATCAGATGTCAAGGAAATAAGGAGCTATCTTCTCTTTAAAAGACATCTGAAGGCAGCCCTGTTTAGGGAACTTTTTAATATTTAATGCTGTTTTGTTTTTAACACTCGATTGGAAGCCGCCCAGAGTGGCTGGGGAAACTCAGCCAGATGGGCGGGGTATAAATAATAAATTATTATTATTATTATTATTATTATTATTATTATTATGCAATTTGTCTCCTTAAGTAGTATAAAATAAAGCTAACTAAACTTGGGGCTTATCCATACTTTCCTTTATGCTGGCTTGGAATGCAAGTTAAGACACCCTTCTAATTAATTTCTATAGGGTTTACTTCTGAGTAGGCATGTATTGGCAATTCACTAATCTGAATTAATGGCTCAACATCAGTTATACATGAGACAGATGTAAACAGTGACATGCATCTTCAGTAGCATATACCTAGATAATTCTTACACAGATGTTACATTAGTGGCACCTTTTTATATCATCTTTCTGAACAATAGGGCATAGGTATTTTTTTAAAAACGAGGGTTGGGAAAATTGTGACCCTCCAGCTGATGATGGGCTATGGCTCTCATTATCCCTGATCATTGGCCACACTTACTGAAGCTGATGAGAGGAGTTGTTGTCCAACAACATCAGAAGAATCACAGATTCCATACCCCTATTTTAAGCTAAGGGTATGTGGGGTATAATAATAATAATAATAATAATTTATTACGGCCGTAGGCCCATACAAGGTATGTGGGGTGTTAGTGGAGGGGTAGTACCTCTGTTGGGGGAAACATCCTGCTCCTTCTGGGGTAGTTTGTCCACCATTGGCCCCCACCCAGCGCTCGGCTCCCACCTGTGGCTCCTAGAAGCTGCCAACATGTGACAGCTATCACACCCTGGGAACAGCTTTGACTGGCTGGCTAAACCAGGTGAGGGTAACTGATGGGTCTCCAAACCTTGGTGGGTTAGGCACTTCCCCTGCACAGGCTTTGGCAGATTCAGCAGATGAGACCAACAGTGGGTCCAATGGTCAAGAAGGCAGGGCAGATTGGGCTTATTAGCCTGGGAAGGTAGCCCGTCTAAGAGAAGGAAAATTCTGATTCTAAACCTTGTGGGATATCTTTGGGAGAAGAAAAGGATGCACAAATTTGGAGTGCAGTCCCTAAGATGGATGTCATCTTGTACTAGCCAAACTGGTGCCAAATGGATTGCTCTGCTTTCCTTTGGACCACATCTGTGAGGCTGAGGGGTTGTGTGTCTTTTCATCTGGGCAGCCCAGAACCTCCACACACACTTCCCAGGCTTGTGCCCTGGAGAGGTTACTTCATTGCTGCTAACACAGCAAAAGCAATGTAGGAGGCAGCAGTTATGAGTTACTGGCCTCTAACTGCTGCCTCCTACATTGCTTTTGCTGTGTTAGCAGCCACAGCAAGTGCTGTGATTCTCCAGCAGTTTGACTTCATCCCTGGAAACACACTCCATTATCTCTCCAGAGAGATAGATGCCATCAGCAACAAATACTGAACTATCCAAGTCCACTAAAGGGAACTTTTACTGCAGAAGCAGAAAGTGCCCTCCAAATGTTTTAGACTACAACTCCCATCAGCTCTAATCAGCATGGGCAGTGATCAGGACTGATGGGAGCTGTAGCCCAGAGCATGCGAAAGGCATCATGCTGGCTGTCCTTGAAATACTGGTACTTACTAGCTGTATCAAAAAGCTGTATTAAAAGACTCCATGCCTTTTAACAAAAGCTTTTAAAAGGCAGAATCACAATTATGGCCAGTAGCACAAAGCAGTATAATATCAAATAATAACTGCACACCATTTACTTGAACATGTCCATTATGATGGAAGTGCAATCTGGCAGAGTTTAAGCTTTGAAGCCAGTATAGCTAAAGGATAACTGTTCCCTTTGACGCTGTAGTGATCCCTCATGAACAATTCTGCGGGTGATTAGCAAGATGGCATTTGAGCATTACAGGCCTGTGAAACACACACAGACACAGAGCATTAAATGGCAAAACTTTTAGGGTGCAATCAGACATGGGGAATAATGCATTAGTTTTCCTGATTATAATGCTAGCACTTCTGCTCATTTTCTAATGTTCATTTCACGCTGCAGTACCTGTTGCATTACGGAACGGTGGCTTTTGGGCCAACATACTGGCACGTCGCGCTAAATTTAATTCACACATTTCGTACAAGAATGAATATCACTGGGCAACATTGCAGCCTCCCCCCATTCTACACATACATGCTTCCCTTCTCCCATGAAAATGGAAGAGTAGAAATTTGTGCTGGTATATGGCCCCAAATTTTGTGTGTGCATCCAAGTTTTTCTGGATTAAAGGGATTGCAAATGGGTATTATTCTGGAATCAACATAGAACTAATCATGAACCACATTCCACTAGTTTTCTGAAAGTGGCTTTTATGTTGTGTGAAAGCTCAAATATAATGTGGAAGTTAAAAAGGAGATTTCAGGAAAATTGAACAAACGTCTGTGTGGATGCAGCCTTAGTGTAAGAAAGGATGGCCAGAGTGAGGGGAAGACGTCAACCCAACAAGCAAGCATGGAGTGGAATTTTGACCAAGCAGCCTTAGTTACCAGAGTTTCTGGAACAGGAGATTACTTCATGAGGATGCGTTTCATTTCTCCCCTCTGTCCTTCCAGGCACCAGTTCTTGCTCAGAGTTATTCTATATCTTAAGGAACAGTATTCTCTTTTGTGACTTTGTTGTGATTTCTTTTAAAGGATTGTCTGCCCTCTTCTCTGAGGTTGTCATGGAAGCTTTTACTAATGAACTCTGTGGACCCAGATCATGTTCTCCTTTGTGGTTAAAATTTACTATTAATCAGCAAGAGTGGCAACATTTCTAAGCCTCCCATTCTCATCTCTCTGTATCTCTTTTTTCTCTGTGTGTTGACTGTAATTGATACATTCTTAGCTCTCTAAGCACATGAAACTAGGGATGTCGGAGAATTCTGACAAAGAAACAAAAACGGGAGCAGGAATTGCCAGTATTCTCTTATTCATCCCATGCACAGAATGGAAATCAATCCAGTGAATATGATCGGGATTCCTTTTTGTTGGTTTCAGTCCTCAAACAATACGTGCAATTGATTACATCCCCCACTTGCACTGAATTTCCTTTACACTGAAATGAATGGGGTAGAATAACTTAATGACAACATGCAATTTATGTAATTTATGTAATTAATTACATAAATTACCTAAGTTAAGTAATTCCTCCATAGCAGACAGCGAGACAAATAACATAGTTTTTGTTCATACATTGCTACAAAGGAACATGGATAGACCACCTGCCACTCAAGGAAGGCTATGGATTGAAACTTTTATTTAAATATATCCTGATTCAGTAAAACACTTATCTCTCTTGAATACACCTTTGCAGCTATTCTCTTTGGGGCAGGGAGGTGGATGGAATTCTCCTCCTTTTTCTTTCCTTACTCTCTTCCTTGTTAAATCGTATCTGGTGGAAGTCAAACTTTTGTGGAACAGAAACAGTCTGGCATGTGACCAGATGGGGCTGAATAGAAACAATACATTCTTATAGCCCTACTTGCAAGTTACACTACTGCAATCAGATGCTACAATATGTAGGCTGTGTCCTACCATTCCTAGGCTACAATATCCTTGGGTTAAAGGAGTGCTGAGTGCACAGAGACACAATTTTGTGGCCCATTTGCTGCAAAATGGAAGTGGTGTGTTGGTATCTTTTTATTTCGGGGAAGACTTACTTGTAAGTAAACAGGTATAGTGGGGGGAGGCAACATGGTGCCCTCCAGATGTTGGACTCCACCTCCCATCAGCCCCCCAGACAGGATGGTCAATGGTAAGGGATATCCACAACACCTGGATAGCATCAGGTTGCTCACCCTTGATGTATAGGGTTGCTGCACACAAAACCCAGCTGGGAGTGGTGGTTTGCAAGCATTAAGTCATCAAATGGACATGTGCATTTGACTTCAGATGCTCTGAATAATCTATTACAACAGTGCATCAGATACAACCGATCAAACACTTGGCATCCATCTATAACATTCAGTACAGGAAAACACTATTATGTAGGCCCTGCACTTACCAGCTGGTTGGCAATGATTGACTGACACATTCATGTTTCAGTTTGTAACTCCCCCCGCCCCCCAAAAACCACTCATTATTAACAGAGTTTTCAAGGACACACCCAGATTTTCAGCTTGGCATCCTGCCATCATAGCAGTCCCCACACTTCACTGCTGTGATCTTTTTTTTTTTTGCCATTGAGCTGTTTTTTAAAAAAATATTTTATTAAGGATTTTCTTGTTTTACAGAAGTAAGTGTAATGCCTCGTATTTTTTTTTCCATGTAACATTTTTACAAATCCGTTTCATTTGTTGAGGCATTAGGGGGAGAAGAAAAAAAGGAAAAAAGAAAGGGGGGTGGAGAGAGGGAAGATGGATGGGGGTGGGGTCGGGTGGCAGTGTTTCTATTATGTTTAATGTATGTAGAGTTTGGTGTCAGCGTTGCTTGTGTTGTTCACTTGTGTTCCTTTGGTGGTGAGAGAGGTTGGGGTTGGCCTAGGGTGTGATTGTTTGCTTGTGATTGGCTGTGGTGATCTTTGTTTTCGTGTGTGAGTGAGGTGGGTGGGTGTTTTGGATCAGGTTAGCCATATTGATTTGTATGCTGTTGGTGGATTATTGTCATTGTCCTGTTGGGCTGTGTAAATGGGAGCCATACCGGGGTGAAGGCGTCTTCTTCTGTTTGTCCCCGTGTCAGTTTCAGTTTATTAGTTAATTTTTCTAGTAGAGCTGTTTCCCATACTATTTGGTACCATTGGTCCATGTTTACTCCTGACAGGTCTCTCCAGTGTCTGGTTATGGTGTTTCTGGCTGCTGAAAGTAGGTGGGTTATGAGTTCTTTGTGGTATAAATGGGCATTGTTGTCTTGGAAGATGTTTAGTAGGGCCAGTTCTGGGGTGATGTCTATTACTTGCTTAGTTATTTTACATATTTCTTGTATGGCTGTTGTCCAGAATAGTTGGATTTTGGGACACTCCCACCACATGTGGAGGTATGTGCCTGTGGAGGTGCACCCTCTCCAGCATTTTGGTGAGGTTCCTGGGTGTATTAGCGCTAGTTTCCTTGGTGTTAGGTACCACCTGTAGGTGACTTTTAGTGTGAGTTCTTTTCTTTTCGTTGATATGGATTTAAAGGGGGGTTCTGGTCCATTGAGTGGGGTTCATCTCATAGCCTATGTCATTCTTCCATTGTTTTTTGATTGCATCTAGGGGATTTGCAGGATTTTGGAGTAGTATTTTGTATATTGCAGATACCGTCCCTTTACCGTTTCCCTTTGTTGTTTTCGAAGGTTGTCAGGGGCCTAGTTGCTGCTGATTTTACTGTTGGGTTGTTTAAGAGGGCATGTAGTTGGTGTTGTGTTAACCAGGGCATTTGGGTGTCTTCTAGTTTGTCTTGTATTTCTTGTGTTGACAAGGGTTTGTTATTTTTATAAAAGTCTATTAGGCGATATAAGCCTTTGGTTTGCTAGGTTTTTATCTGGAGGTTTTGTGCTGCCTGGTGGAATAATGGGTGGTACGCCAGGGGGATTAGTGGGGATGGGGTTGGGGATAGTTTGCCTATTTGTGTTTTCCATGCTTTGAGCATGGTCTGTGTGTACCTGTTAAGTGTTGTGGGAATTTTCTTTAGTTTGTTTGGGAGGAGTGGGTATGTTGTGGTGCAGGTATTTTCAATTGTGTCCCTCTCTAGGTGTACCCATTGTTTTGTCTCATCTTCTAGTATATATGGGATTATATGGCTTATTTGGTTCGCATTGTAATATGCTTCTATGTTGGGGATTCCCCATCCTCCTTCTGAGGTGGGGAGGTGCAGGTATTTGAGGCTTATTCTTGGTTTTTTATGTGAGAAGATGAAAGAGTGTAGTTTTCTCTGCCAACTGCGAAGTTGGGTTGAGGGGATCCAGATTGGGAGGGTTTGGAATAGGTAGGTTAGTTTTGGGAGTGTGATCATTTTGATCATGGCTATTTTGTCTGAGAGAGTGAAATTCATGTTATTCCATCTCTTTAGGTTTTTGTTAATTTGTCGCCACAGGGGCTTGTAGTTGTGGAGGTGCAATTTATTGAGGTTTCTGGTTATTTGTACCCCTAGGTATCTGAACTTGGTGTGGCAAAGTTTTATTTTGGTGACCTTCGTGAGTTCTTTTTGGGTGTGAGGAGGGGTGTTGAAGCACATAGCTTCTGACTTTGTAAAACTTACCTGTAGGCCTGACACCATTGCAAATGTGTTGAGTTCTCTGATTAGGGAGGTTGCTGTGCTTATGGGGTCTGGTGTTGTGACCATTAGGTCATCTGCAAAGAGCCCTAATTTATAGGTTCTGCCTTTTATTTCCACTCCCTTGATGTCTGTGGCTGCTTGGATGCGGATTGCTAAGGGTTCCAGAGCCAGGATAAATAAGAAGGGAGACAGTGGGCATCCTTGTTTCGTGCCTCTTTGGATAGCTATAGTATTAGAATCCATATTGTTAGTTCTGCATTTTGCTGAGGCTTGGGACTATATTTGTTTGAGGATTTGTAGGAAGTTGGGGCCAAATTTCATGTTAGTTAGTACTGCTAATATGTATTTCCATCTAAGCAATCAAAGGCTTTGAGGATGTCTAGGGACATAATTGTCAATGGGAGTTTGGTTGCCTTGCTGTGTTCGATCAGGTTCAGTAGTTTCCTGATGGGGTCTGTTATATTGCGGCCAGGGACAAAGCCAGTCTGGTCTGGGGCTATTAACTTGTGTAGGAAGATTTTTAGGCGGTTGGCCAAGATTGATGTGAATATCTTGTAGTCTTGGTTTATTAATGAGATTGGGCGGTATGATTCTACTTTGAGGCTGTCTTTTAGTGGTTTTGGGATGGAGACTATTTTGGAGTGGGTCCAGGTTTTGGGGATGGGGCCCCTTTTATGATGTCGTTGAATAGGTGGGTCATGTAGGGCATCAAGGGTTCTTTGAATTTCCTATAGAATTCTGCTGTGAAGCCGTCTGGGCCTGGGGCTTTGTGTGGTTTCAGGTTTTTGAGGACCGCATCTATTTCCTCTGGGGTGATAGGGCTGTCCATGAATTCCTGTTCCTCATCAGTTAGGGTAGGCATGGACAGTCCTGCTAGAAATTTTCTGATTTCCTTCTCTGGTGGGTTATGGGAGGTGTATAGGTTGGAGTAGAATTCTGCAAATTCTGAGGTTATTTCTTCGGGGGAGAATGTTATGTTGCCGTCTTTTTGGTGATGCAGTGTATTCTTGTTTTGAGTGCTTTTTCCTACATCTATTTGCTAGTAATCTGGAGTTTTCCCCTCCATATTCGTAGAAATGTTGTTTAGAGTATAGAATGTTGATCATTGTTTTGTTAATTTCTAGGGAGTCTAGTTCTCTCCTTTTTTGTTCTATAAGTTTGAGGAGTTTTTTAGATCCTGTTTGTTTGTAGCGTGATGAGAGGGCTGTGATGTCTTGTTCTATTTTGCTAATTTTTGAGGAGGTTTGTTTTTTAAGGAACGTTTTCTCTTTTATGCAAGCTCCTCTGGTGACCGCTTTCATTGTGTCCCATAGGAGGGGGGTTGTTATATTGTTTATATCGTTTTCCTTGAAGTAGTTTTGGAGGGTTTTTGTGAGACTCTCTCTAATTTGTTTGTTTGTAGTTAGGATGGGACTGAAGGACCATGATGGGGTGGTTTGTGTTCCTTCTCCTATTTTAACGATGACTTCTACTGGGGCGTGATCTGTGATTTTAATGTTACCTATGCTTGTTGATTCCACTGAGGGGATCAGACCCTGTGTGAGTAGAATGCTGTCCAGTCTGGACACTGTATCATGGCGTCCCGATTGGAATGTATGGCTGATGTTTGGGGTTTTGCTCACCCCAAATGTCGTAGAGACCCCTGTTTTTTAGCATTTTTAGTAACTTGTAAGGGTTCCTAGTTGTTGGGGGTTTCCTTCGGAGGAAGGTTGCCCATGGGGTTGTAGGGTGGATATCTTTCAGGGATATACCTTTCATATTTAGATTGAGGTCCCCTCCTAGGATTGCTTCCCCTTCAGAGAAAGAGAGGAATTTGTTTAGTGTCTTCTGGAAGAATTCTAATTGTTTCGTGTTTGGGGCATATATGGAGCTGATTGTCAGTTTGATTTTGCCATCTAGTGTCCCTTTAGCGAAAATGAATCTGCCTTTTTGTCCTTGAGGACTGTTGTGGCAGTGAAGTTCAGGTCTCTACTGAGTATTATGGCTACACCACGAGCTTTCCCTGAGCCTCGTGCGACCCACTGTTGACTGGAAGCGGGGTCGCTCAGGAGTTTGCTGCCTTTGGGTGGGTTGTGTATTTCTTGTAGGAAGGTGATGTGTGGTTTCATGGTGTTTATGTATGAGGTGATGCGTTTTCTTTTGATGGGGTTTCCCAGCCCCCTCACGTTTAATGTAATTGCTTTTAGGTTAGCCATCTTGCTTATCTATTATGTGGGGCGATTCCCTGCCAACCCATTTGGGTTGTCTTGTATCTCTCTCTTCGTGTTGTTTAAAGTACCAGTGGGGTTGCGCTGACCTAGGGTGTGGTGGGTGGGGGGCTAATGGGATTAGAGTAAGATTTGGGTTAAAGAGTAGGGGGTAAGTTGTAGAGAGTTTCCTATATGTAGTCATATATGTGTTTGTTTGGGGTATTTTAGGCCATCTGGCATTTAGCCGGTTGGTCCTAGGTCTCAGCTGGTGTGGAAGGCCGTGTTCAAGGACAGGCCATCCCCCCCTGTTGTTTGAGATAGGGGTGATCAGTGAGACAGTGTGAAGTGACTTTGTAACGTCGCTGTCAGGTATAAGGTTCATAAGCAATGTTGCCAATGTTATGAGCAACATTGTTGGTGTGTTGGGGTGGGGATGTGGGTGCTGGTACGCTCTGGTGCCACCATGGTGCTGGTTGGGTATCAGATTTTAGCCTGATTGTGGGTTGTGTTATTAAGGTTGGAGGAGTTGTGTTTTCTGAGTAGGGAGTAGGGGGAGGGTGAAGGTGTGGGTGATGGGGAATGTGGTTGAGGTCGTCTGGACTGGTGTTGGGGTGGGGATTCCTGTGGGGGTGCGGGGCTGGGGGGATGTTGATGGTGTTAACTAAATCTATGTTTTGGGGGGGGGAGAGAGGGGGAAAGGGGGGGGGGGGAATCACCAGTCCTTCAGTTTGTGGTTTTTTCCTGGTTGCTTCATTCAGCTGGGGTTGTTGTTGGGTTGTCCATCTGCGATGAATTGGTTTGGTTAATCCTGGTCTGGTTTCTTGTGTCGTTTGGCCGGCGGGACGATTCTGAGCGTGATGCTTCTCTGTATTGGTTTGCGTTGTTGTGCCGCTTCTGTTGTTTCTTTTTCTTCTGTACCGTCGTCCAGTTGTGTGCTATTGTTTCCTTGTGATTGGGGCTGTCACTTGGTGGGTTTGTCGGTTGCCATTCCGGTGGGAGGTCGAGTTCAAGGTTCTTTAGTAGTTGCAGGGCCTCAGGTATGTTGGTAGCCATGTGTTGTGTTGTATTGGTTGTTACAATGAGGCGGTGCCATTGAGCTGTTGTATGCCAATCCACCTGGTTTCTAACTTCTCCTATTCATTAAGAAAAGAGGCAGGTTTTGCTCACCAAGAGCATATGCATTTGGCATAATCATGCTTTTTGCTAAATGTTTGGGTTCCTTGCAAACTTTACTACTTAGAATAGTTTAGGGCCTCTTCAAGAAACCCAGAGTGATTTTCTTGTCAACCCACTCTTGCAAGCAGGAATCGCAGAATATAAACCTTCCCAGTTTTCTAATCCTTATGAATAAATGCAATGATATGAGAAGATCTGGGAGAAGAGCTCTTATGCTCTTTTCCAAATTTACTTATTATAAATGAAGGAAGGTCATGCAGCCAATCAATTCATTGAAAGATGAAACTTATTTATGAAACATCAGTATTCAA